GATGTGCTGAGATATGCTCTTAATGGAAGCATATCCAAGGATGTTTGAGGGGTGGGGGGCAGGAAGGTTGGAACTAGTTTATAAAGCAGATTGCTCATCTGTTACACTGTATTAAATTCAAATTACTGCAAAGGACAAGCAGACATTTGTTCATGTTGCAATAAAACATACCGGCAGGCAGTTTTTAACCATCTCTTCTTGCAAGGAAGGAATCTCTGGTGGAATTTACACTTTTCAGTCATCTCATTCAGTGACTAGGTTACAAAGTTACTGTCTAGTGTCACTTTCATAATTAGTCAATGTCCATTTGTCAACCCCCCTCTGCAAAACCCTCTACTTTTCAAGCAGTGTTATCTACTGAGAGAAAATAACTGAGTATTAGATGTTTTATCTCCCCTTCTTCAGCCTCAATTGGGAGAGGCTGACTTATTTATCATGAGGAGAAAACAAGTGACATATTTGTAGTTTCAAATAAACATTTCCCTGAAAACACCCCCTCCCCATTTCTAAAGAGTAATGTAGTTTTACAGACATGTGTTTAAACTATGTAACCAAATGGTGACCCTGGATGGAACTAAACAAACAAAGGAAATGTTTGAGGCTCTTGATGGCTTCCACAATTCTTATCGGTAAAGACAGGCTTTGACTACTCAATAAACAGGAAAAGAGGATAAGGGTCTGTAGTAACTTAAATCCAACAGTCTGCTTTGGGGTTGTTGGGTTTCATAAAGTTTTGAGGCACATGAGTTCATTTCAGTAGCATGTTAATAAAACTTCTGATAATCACAAAATGGCTGTTGGTGAGAGGCATTGCCAGAGACAACAAGTTTGGCACATACCTTTCATGCTTACTGGTGTGACATTTGTCCTCTGTCACTCTGACCCACACAACAAGTATAAGGTAGGGATTAAAGTGTTTGCATGAAGTCCCTAAAAAGCCAAATTCAAATTCTTATGAGACCATGGAATTCATTGCATGATTTTGGATAGGTTACTTTTGCTGGTCCTAATCCACTTTCAAGATTGTTGTAGAAATAAAATTAATAGATTACTCCCTGTAGACTACCGAGAAAAGGTGGGATACAAATGAATCCTGTATTATATGCCTAATTGCTTCCTTAATTTACATGATGCAGGTAACAATGAAAAGCAGTGGGTACCATGCTGACATACTGTAGCCTAGTTTTCATGGAGTTAGCAAATATTTAATTTTACAGCAAGACTCTACTGGAAGTAAAAAAAACAACATCAAATGCTCCCACATGTGAAATTCCTTATCTCTATTGTCTAGATAAGGTACTATTTGAGAATAATATTTTTTTAACAAAATAGCATATGTAATCTAAAAATACTAAAAAAAGGGAAATAGACCTTGATTATTCCAGATACAGGAAAATGTAAAAGGGATACACTTTGAATGTGAATTTAAGGAGAGGAAATACATGAGTGCCTTTGATATGTCTGTTTTGTATATGATTCATTTATTGAGGTGGCTGATCATTTATCTCTGGTTTTGCCCCTGATATTGCTTGAGGGGTAAGGTAGTATAAATTGTTCAAATTTGCTCTCTACAGAAGACTGTTAGTATCTTGCTAAAACAGATCACAGCTTGAACAGGATACGCGTTAAGGGAATAATTGTGATCTTATTGGAAAACCCTTGAAGGGGAAATCTGTCTCTCTCTTTTTTTACAACTATTAATTAAAGGCCACTTTTAAAAGGAAACTTTCAGAACTATAGTTTGAAAGAGTTAACTGGGATTACTTTGGTTCATGAGGCCAAAACATAGCAGATAGAGCATAATATGATTCTTAATTACCTTTAAAATATATTATAGAGCCCTCCTGGATATAGAGACTCCATCCACCTTAATTCTCTTTGCTGTGTGAGGGTGGCGAATGCTAATGTACTTTATAGCAAATTAGTATTTTATGACTGGTAGTGCCTATCACACTGTCATTTTATGAGTAGGCAAGTCTCTCATGGTAGCCATTTGGTGTGTGTATCCATGGTATACTTTTTAAAAAAAGATCTAGCCCAAAAACATTACCTACTCCATTTTGCCTTGTTTTTTTTCCAAAATACATACCTGTTCAAATGAGGTAGTAAGATTTGTGGCAAAACATATACTTTGGAAGCAATTTTTTTCCGGATCAGTCTCAGGCATAGGAGGGAATACCCTGTGATCGTTTCTCAACCCCAGCAATTTTAAGATATATAGACTTCATCTCCCAGAATTTCCTGGTCATCTGGGTCAGTCTGGATCTTGAAGTTGAGGTAGGATAGTGCATACTTTGTAGCTTTTTTTTCTTGTGCCATTTCCTGCTGTGGGTTTTGGCAAAACCTTGCTGCTGTCTTGATTGGAAGTGTAATAATTGTTAGAGGAGATTACAATAAATAATACATTATTCCAAAGTAAAAAAAGAGTAATGGTCAGAACTAAAAGATTACCTGCATTATCTATGACAAATTTGGTTTTTCTTATGGTCCTCAGCATTTCTTTTCATTAGGGTAATTATTGGAGCTGCCGGGAAACCACTGTATTCAGCAGTGAAATGTCACTATGGTGGAGGTGAAAAATACTAATTGTATTTTGTTAAATCACCTCAAACATTGAGACCAGTGCAGATGCCATAAATCTCCCTATTGTAAAAGATGCAAGTAATCTTTACTGATTTTTCTTGCCTTCTCACTCATCCTTGCTCTGCCCCAAATCTAATCAAGCATAAAAGTTGATGAGGAGCTGAAAGAGATGGAATTGTGTGTTTCTTTGTGTATGTGTACCTATGAATTGTAGTCTTTACATTCACTGAGAGAAACTGGTCATACATAGAATTCTTTCCATCAGTATCTATCACATGAGTAATTTTTTTTCCAGAGATATATTTTAAAAAAATCTAAGCCTGTGAATTCTGATATCAAAATTGTGTTTTTAAAAGAAATAACTACATGTACTGATAATTGGGAAAAAATTAGTTCATTGTCAAAAGGTATTTATTAAAGAATCATATGCGTTTACATGCAGAAGATAGTTTTGCTTTTATTAAGTATGGTACTATATTTGAGAAATATTTTTTTGTTGAAGCCTGTTAGGGGAATGGGTTGATTCTTACTGATTTTATAGAATTGTGTTCATTCCGAAAATGAGTCCATGTGTCATTATCAAGCTAAAGTATTTTATTTTATTTGTTTTATTTTATTATTTTATTTTATTTTTTATTTACCATTTTTTTCCATTTTAATTTCTCTTAACTAATACTAATATACATTTGCAACAAAGCACTCCCAAAATTACTGTGCTGATTAATTTGCAGTCTAATCTCTGATACAACAGTTTTACTTGGCACTATAACTGGATATATTAGAAATGCATTTTAATGTAAAGCTGTGGCCTCAAACAAAATTACAAAGAAATCCTTTAGAAATTATTAAATATACAGGAAAAAATGATGTAAAATATTTTATGCTTATAAACTGGTCCCTAATGATCCTTGTTGATCTTCATGATTTTTTAAAAAAAAACTTATCAGCTGTATTTTTCTTAATATGTCTGGTCATCATGGGTATTTTATATGTCATAGGTATTTATATGTCATACTGAGAAAGAGGTGGACCAACATATTTGAATGCTCCCCACACGAACAGTAACACATAAAAGCATTCTACAGGTAGTTCTCATTCAGCGGCCACTTTCAATTATGATTATGGTGAACAAGAAGGCTTATAACCATTCCTTGCAGTTGCAGCTGGAGCAGCATCTCTGCGATCATGTTTGTTTGTTTGTTTATTGGATTTATATGCCACCCTTGTCCCAAAGAGAAGGAATGTGATCGTGAATCAGGCTCTTGGGGAATGGCTCGCAATTACAAGAATCACAGTACCCTGTAGTCACATTATCATCATTTGCAACCTTCACTGCTGGCTACCAGCAAGCACAGTCAATGGGAAAGCCAGCAGGAAGTTTCAAATGGTGATCATGGGATGTTGTGCCTAACAGCTACACAGGGCAACTGGAATTACCATTGTTTAAGTCAGAATGGTCGTGTGATGTTGGTCTTTACAACTACGTGACAGTTATTTGGACTGCTTATGTCAGAATTGGATGTCCATCAGAGAACAATGGGCTAAAACAATACTATTCCAACAAACTTATTCTCTGCATGAGACTAGTTTATTTCCTAACTAGAAACATTCAAAAGTGCTTGTTCTTGAAGCTGTTCCACAACAGCTGTTGTGATGTCTCCACTGGGTGGTCAAACTTTTAGTTTAAGAAAGAGTAGCAAGATTAACAGAAGAAGGGGATCTAAAAGCCCATGAAAAGAGAATATGTGATAGAAACGAGTAAAAGATTCATAGAGTAGAAATATTAGGATGTCACACAGCAATATAACTTTAAAAAGTTGTATATAGAAGTCTGTTTTATTTATTCTAGATCTGTGTGCATCAAATGAATACACTCACTGGGATTTGGGAATCCATATAGCTTCCTCCAGAGTGTAGCCTTAATGCAGTCTTTGTGATAGTACACTAAGAGCTGAGAATGAAAGCAGTTTCCTGAATAATTTCCATCCCTATTGTTTTGACATTTTTCATGTGTGAGCACAGCATTGGGTTTAAAAATAAATAGAGGCACTAAAATGTTGTCAGATTCCATTGATGGAAGCTTCCAGCTACCATTTGCAATAAGTAGTGCTGGAAGTTGTTATTGTGCGGGTTCTAAAGTAATGCAAATTCAGTATTTTGGTGTATGAATGCCTGTTTCCTGTTTTTTTCTGTAGTCATCATCCACCACAGTTACCACTTTGTTCATGTAGAACTATTTACCGGTATATATAAGTGTTTTTTAAGTGACTTTAGTGGCTGCTGCTAAAGACCACAGTTGCTGTCTAAGATGGTGAATTCTATTTAAGTGCATTCGGCTTATCAAACTTTGCTTGCTTAAAATAGCAAACACACATTTTGCTGATTTTTAAAAATGACTATTTTCTTCTGATGAACAGGTTTCCACCTGAGCGGTACCGTGACTGAACCTGCCATGCAATCCGAGCCAGAAACTGTTTGCAATGTGGCTATCAGCTTTGATCGTTGCAAGATTACCTCAGTGACCTGTAGCTGTGGAAACAAAGACATATTTTACTGTGCCCATGTTGTGGCCCTTTCTTTATACCGGATCCGCAAGCCAGATCAGGTCAAACTGCATCTTCCCATTTCAGAGACTCTTTTTCAAATGAACAGAGACCAACTGCAAAAATTTGTACAGTATTTGATTACAGTGCACCATACTGAAGTTTTGCCAACGGCTCAAAAACTTGCAGATGAAATCCTTTCTCAGAATTCAGAGATCAATCAAGTTCATGGTGAGTTAGTTTTTTTTTTCTCCAGTGCTTGCTCCAGAATCCTTTTCTTTCTCCCAGGAAAGTACTTCAGTTTAATCCTATTAATACTGTATTTCCGTAAGCTTTTTGGACTTCCTTTCATGTTCTCTCTCCAAATATGTTTAGAACAAATGACACTTTTAGCCTGTTAGTTTAATTAGGCAATGTGCAGAAAGCTAACTGAAAACTGGGAAAGACTGCCTGTTCTTGCAGAAAAGACTGTAGTTCCATTCATGTATTGTAGTGCATGAATCACATTGAGCAGTGCTGTCCCTCTAAATATCATGCTTGTGATGTCAAATAAAAGAGAGGTATGAAATGAGATGGTCTGATGAGGCCTTCAGATATACAGTAGGTTATAGGCTTAGACTTGCATTATCAGAATTTTTATGTGCATGTGCAGGTTGGATAAAGCTGTCAGTAACAAGTTGTATAAGGGTCTAATGACATGTTTCCATGGAGAACAACAGTTGCTCAGCCACATTGAGAAAAGATATCAATGATTTATTTTATCTCAAATCTAACAAGGAGACCCATAGAGACTGTTAAGAAAAGGTAATATCTACCATTAATAACTTGTCAGAAGAACAACAGAATTATTTTCTACTTACTTAGATGGTTATTGCTTAAAGAAACACGAGTTTCATTTATTTGGGGGGGGGGGTTAATTCAGTGTCCAGCTGAGTAACTCTCCCACTTGTAGATGATCAACATATTTCTAATTGAAATGTTATATGACAGAAAACTACTTGATTGACAGGAAACCCTAACCCTGAAAGCATTTAGAAAGGTGATATGAGGATTAGGCTATATATAATCAAGAATGCATAATTGAAAGTAGGAGAGGAATATCCTTTCCTCTCCCCCCCCCCCCAAGAAAGGTGAAATATGTTATGTGGTGTAATCATTCCTTCCACGGGAATTTGGACAAGCAGCTTTGTTGAAACATCTGAACAATACGTCAGGATGTATTTTTGCTACTTATTGTTTTAACCATTTATTGTTAAAATGAACAAGAAATTTAAGCAAGCAAGCAAGCAAACAAACAATTGTTGCTTGATCTCCAACATCTACAAACGGAAGAATTAACATTTGACTCTACAGTATACTAGTAGATGTGTCCCAAGATGATTCATGTATTGTGCAAGCTAAGTTAGATAATATAGTGATGTCCAAATTTCTGCTGAATTAGTGTATATAAATTGCTTGCTGCATGGAGTAACTGCAAGCCTGAGGGTGTGCGCTTTAAAAGCCATGTGATGAAGATGCTGCTTTGAATGCTTTGCCCAATCCTACCATGTTGCTGTCCTTCAATAATCAGCGACTCCACCACTTTTCCAGGAGTTCAAAGACAATATATAAAGATTTGGACAGACCATGAGCAAGTCCCTTTGGTAGCCTAGGATGCAGTTCATTTGGCCTGAAAATTTCAATGGATGTGAAGTAAATAGATACTTCAGTCAAGCTTTAGTCTTGGTCTTTCAAGACTTGAGCATCCATTTAATTTTTCAGATGTACAACATGAAAAAGTATATGTGATAGTTTCAAATTTGGCTAATACCTCTTCCTCCTCCCCCCACTCATCCCTGTAATTTCTAGCATTTTTTTCAGGAGAGGACAAGGTTTCTTTGCCAATATGAATATTTGGTTATAAATAGGAAGTTGGTAGTTTGTGATTAGAACTGACATGAGCCATGCTAATATCGATCTTTGGAAATGCCTACAGGTTAGATCATAGATTAAATGTCCTTAGAATGCATACATTCTAAGTAAAGATTTGAGTAAAGAGCAGATTCCAATTTTATGTAATGTAACTGGGACTAATTTAATATGGCACCCAAAAATGAATTATTTACTTTCATGGAATTATAAAATTGAAAGTTGCCATTTAAAGTATTGAATCCAAACCCCAGCATCCCAGATGGTATCTCTTTGGCCTTCAATTAAAAACATGCAAGAAAGGGAAGCCCACCTGCCCCCCTTCCTTTACCTGATTCTACTATTACTAGAACAATAAAAGATTTGTTTTTGAGAAGTCCATGCTGACTCCTGGTTTTTCTGAAGATGTTTATGGATTCATTTCTTTGTAGTCCGCTTTAGAAATTTCCTAGGTACAATCAAATTAATTTTTCCAATTTGCTAGGTCTTTTTGTTTTGGAAAATAATGGATACTATCCAGTCATCAGGCACTTCATCTCTTCTCCAGGATTTCTCAGAGATAATACATAAGGAATTGGGCAGATGATAACTAGTTTTTTCAGCAAGCCACGATGGAATTAATTTGGTCATGGAAATTTAAATTCACTCAGAGTAAATCCCTGACTAGGTTTCTCCCAGTTTCAAGCTTTAGTTCTGCCCAAAATTCCTTGGCAGTACTAACATAGTCTTGTGTTAGGGAGAGCTGAACCAAAATAGTGTTTCTTTGTTACTAATATTTTACAATGTTTATTTGACTGCTAGTAAACTGATTCTTTTCATTTGCCTTATATAAAGGCATGTATAAAGGCTTTTCTTTCCCCTCAGCAGCCTTTCCTGAGCTCAGCTCATTATGAATTCAACTTTCCTGACACACCTCTGCTGTTCTGCTCTACCTGTCTATACTCTTTCTTTGTGATCTATTCTTACTTATATCCATTTCCTATACTATATGTACTGTGTCCTTTCTTGCTTTCTGCCTTTCAGTTGCTTGTGTATCTAACCTTCAAAGAGAGGTGTGTGTATATATATGTTTTTACGCATGAAGCGACATTGGCTTCTTTTGCTGTCACTTTTGCTTTCATTATAATTTTTAAATAATTTTTTAACTTTAATACCTCTAATATGGACCTGCGAGTTTCTTGAGCTTCTCTTCCTGTTGGCTTCAGGCACCGTAGGATCTTATTCCCTAACTCAGAGCAGGTTTTATTTGAATTTGATTTTGCATTTGGTCATGGTCACTTTTCTTAAAATCAAGAGTTTTGGCTTGAAATGATAACATTCAATCAACTTTGAAGTCTGCCTCCTCCTCTACTATGCCCTTGATGGGTAGATATAAGCAAATCTTGATGGAAAGAATCTCACAACGTTCTTGACAAACTGTGACATTGCAGCATCTCAGAACTAGAAAGCTAGCTAGTAAGCATGTGAGGGATAACTAATGTTTTCCATTATATATCAAATATTCTTAGTTGTCTTAAATTGGAGGTTTAGAGTATGTGTTCACTGTTTAAGCTTTTAGGAAACATTTGTTCCTTGTGGTTAAGAGGGATAACTTGGAGAAACAGAGCAAGTCAGGGAAGTATGAAGATGACTTTTCAGTATTACTACCAACTCTTCAGCCATTAAAAGATTTCCTGGAGTCTGGCTGCCCTGGTTGTCAACTGCAGATATGTTGACTAGATGTTTGATGTCATCTAGCAAAAGTATTCTGTCACAGTCTCTTGGCTTTAATTATTCCATTTTCAAAATATATGTTATAATTCAAATCATTTGAAATTATTATTTAAAATAATAGAAAACTCATTCATTTAGAAGAAAAATTATGAAAGGTTCCTCAGTTTGATACTTGCTGTAATAAAAGCATGCATACACTTTTGATACACCTTATTTTTTCTGGAATTTTCTGAGCCAGCAACTCTTTTTCATCAGAAGTTGTTATTGTGGGAAAAATAGGAGAAGTACTGTTCTCAGATAGTCAAGTGTTGCCCCTTCCTGTTTTTTAAAGAGTAATGCCATTTTTAGGAAGGCATTCACACAATAGGCAAAATAAATGATAGAAAGTGCTGTTTCCTATATTTGCCTACTTTAATTTTTACCAGATTTAAAAAAAACATTTTAGCCTGCTTATTTAACATTTTAATTTTTCCATTGATTTTAAATGGTAATTCTGAAGAATATCCCAAACTAAAACACCCCTGATTAAAAGCAAATATAAAAACAGCAAAACAAAAGACCTATGGTAAATAATAAAGAACAACATAATAACAGTAAAGTACCGAGAATAATAGCCACAAACGGGGCCACTTTGTTATTCTCTAATACTGATGAACCACAAGTAGTTTTTCTTGAGAGCTATGTACTCGGTGGCTCAATTCTGGTTAGAAAAAGTAGCTAGAAAAGGAAACTACATAGGAACCCTTCACATATGCAGTACTGTAAAATGCATTTGAAACATATTAGAAACCTGTGCATTTTATTAGATGATTATTGACAAAAATATCCTGCTGCATTGTATTATCAGATGCAGTTTCTCAGTGGTCTTCAAAGATATGAATACAATATGTATATTTAATATATTGCAAGAATCTTGAAAGTGATAAGGGTGTGAGTTACTCTTGTGACTAGACATACCCAGTTACCCTGCAACTGTTTATCATGTTTTAGCTCCATCCCGCTAATCAATTTTGTTGCTCTTCTCTGCACTCTTTCTAGAGTCTCAACATCTTTTTTGTAACAAGGTGACCAAACTAATGCAGTATTCCAAGTATGATCTTACCAAAGCAGTGTTCAATTTTAGCCTGTTTTGTCCCATCCAAAGCCCAATAGTGTTCAGATATTTGAGATTTCCAATTGTCTCCAACTTACCCAATTAAATGCCACCTTACTCCAAACTATAAAGTGACCTCTTCGAACAGTTCAAGAGAAAGATGGAAAAGATCAAGCCCTATTAAGCCAACCTCCCCTCCTCCTCCTCCTCCTCCTCCCTATCCCCTGACTGGAATTGCCTGATAATGAAGGACCAGTGCCATATAAAACAGTGCCTGTAGCCCTCATAATATTTCCAGAAGGAATGCTTGCTGTTGAGAAGTCTCATATGGTAGGAAGGATATATTACCTCCTCCCCATCCTGACATAGCGCCTTGACCCGAATAACCAGTACTATTTTGGTTCCATGTCTGGACCTGATCCCAGGCTGAAAAGGCTCCAGAAAAATCTGCTTTCTTAATGGTGCCGCAATTGACCCTCACCATCTTTTCAACAGCCTTCTCCAAAAATAGAAATTGAAGACTGCATGATAGTTATTTAGTGTAGCTAGATCCAGAAAATGCCTTTTGAAGAGAAGGCATATTACAGTCTCCTTCAAATTGGGGAGGGGATGCCCTCCCCTACATGGCATCGACTATTTTCCTAATACAAGAAGTCATACCTCTTCTGCCTCAAAGAAGGGGCCTGGATAGAAAGTACTTGCCTCCCTTATTGGAATCTTTAGGCTGCAAGAGACCCCAGATAATTAATGACATTGCCTTAATCATCACGGTGGGTCTCAACCTTCCTAATACTGCGACCCTTTAATACAGTTCCTTATATTGTGGTGACCCCCATTGTAAAATTATTTTATATTTTCTGTATTTTTAAAAAAAATGTGTTTTCCAATGGTCTTAGGTGACCCCTGTGAAAGGGTCATTCGACCCCCAAAGGAGTCGCGACCCACAGGTTGAGAACCGCTGCTTTAGACCCTACACATGAAGAGTCAAGGCTTGGGGGAATCTGGTTTTATCGGTAAACTGCTATGCAAGTAGTTATCTTATTCCTCCCAAAAAGTGACTTGACTACCTTGAACAGTGTTTCTGATTTACTAGCCATCCACACTACATAGAGAGGACATAAGATAGAAAGATAGAAGTTATTGTATAAGGTCAGATTATTTATTCATTTATATATTTAAAGATTTGTGGGGCAACATGTAGGCAGCTCACAACAATAATAAAACTGCAAACTATAAAACCATAAAACTAAAAAAAATATTAAACCCTTCCACCGAAATCCTGGTGCCCCAATCATCTTCTAGGATGCTTCAACAACTATCCATATGCTCCCACGACACTGTTGCAGTGCTGGGTAAATATCAGGTCTTGATGGACTTCCAGAAAGGGACTGCCAGATCACTGGGGCCAGGATGTTCCACAGAGTAGGGGCAGACTTGGGATTTATCAGACTTAGGAGCCTTTAAATTTCAGAAGCTGAAGACTGAGCATGGAATTTGTGTGCAAAGCACACATTTTGCCAGTGAGTAACGATACCTATATGTCATAGAGGGCTATTGCTCCAGTTTTCTCTTAGCCACTGACATAATAATCTAAAGCTGTGCACACATAGGTTCCTTTAGAATGCTAAATATGCACAGAATTTTACCATCATATCAGTGCTTAATATCAGTGCATACATAATAGGTGTAATCAATCATCAATAACTTATTTTAGGTGGGAACAACTGGATCCTCATGTATTGGTAAAAAGATTTAAGTCATCATATAGCCTTTGTTTCTACTGTGTAGGTGCCCCTGATCCTACAGCAGGAGCGAGTATAGATGATGAAAACTGCTGGCATTTGGATGAAGAGCAAGTTCAGGAACAAGTTAAACTCTTTCTTTCCCAGGGTGGATACCATGGATCAGGGAAACAGCTCAATCTGCTTTTTGCAAAGGTATGTTAGAAGGGATATTTTTTTCATTTTGACAGAATGCTTTTTTACCTTTCGTTCTTATGTTGACTTCACGATGTTTAGCCTCTTAGTAATGTTCCCACTACATTTCTTGGGCTGGTACCATCTGGATTTCTTGGGCTACATTTTTCAGAATTCTCCGCCATTTGAAGATTTTAAGGTACAGAAGAAGATTACTTGATGTCATTAGTAAACGGTTTCTTTGGGAAAAATACAAATCAACATGGCCAAAACCCAACCAAACAAATCTGTTGAATTTTAAATGTCATTGCTTTGACATGCATTGATAATAGTATGCCCCCACCCCCACCCCAAGCACACACAGTATAAAAGGAGTATACAAAAGGAAATACAAAGTAAAGTGACTGGTATCTTTTTATAACTTAATGTCATATGATACATCTTACAATTGTTTAAAAGAAAATTGGGAAATCTGTACTGCCATAGGACAATGGTTACTTAATGTAAGGAATGATAGAACATGAAGTAAGTAACTTTGCAAATACTTCTGTTGTTTCTTGAGCAGTGGGATGGAATCTGTAGTAAATTGACACCTTTTGGTTGATCTGTTTTGCATGTTTCATTATCAGAATTATACACAAACTGCATAGGGAGTTAGAAGCATAGAACAAACTGAAACTTGTGGTAGAAGATTAGAATGTTTTTAGTCAAGGGTAGTACTGGTATGATTGGTATGGTTCAAAGTGAAATGTTGAAATGTATGAATTTAAAGCTAAAGCCAGTTCAATGCAAAGTTGGAAAATAGTGATAAGAATAGCACTTAGACTTATATACCACTTCACAGTGCTTTACAGCCTTCTCTAAGAGGTTTACAGAGTCAGCATATTGCCCCAACAATCTGGATCCTCATTTTACCAACCTCGGAAGGATGAAAGTCTGAGTCAATCTTGAGCCGGTCAGGATTGAATTCCTGGCTGTGGGCAGAGTTAGCCTGCAATACTGCATTCTAACCATTGCACCACCATGGCTCTTAAATATCAGAATAACAACTTATTCTGTCTTTGGTATCTCTGAATCAGCGTGTGCCTTGGAAGTAAAATAGGGCACCTTTAGCATCAGACAAACATGAAACAATCAACCTGCTAAGTTTTCTAATAATTGTATTGTATTGATAAGATAATAACTGTGCTTTATAATTGAAGTTCTATAGCCAGTCAATGGAACAATTATAAGTTTGTGCCTCTCTGACTTTTTACAATGCTGGTGGTTCTTCTACCTTGCATTTCTCCTTAAATTTGTTCTTTGAATGATCAGTAAAATCTTTGGTGTCTATAGTAATTTGGGAGGGGAAAAGTAAATATTTTAAGCATCTTTATTAAGAGTGCGTGTGAATTTTATTTCCAAAGTGTTCATAAGAACCTTGGACTATAGAATACTCTCCTCTCATGCTGAAGGTGTGCAAAGTGTACCACTGTGTTCTGTAAAGAATGGTTTTTGCAATATGGTACATTTGAATTACCATGAAAAGCTTTATTTTCTCCAAAATTGTGGGATTTTCAAGTTAGTTTATTACGCTTTTGTATTTATACTGAACTACATAGGAATTTGCTAATATATCCATGCTCCCTAATTGACAAGAGAAAAAATTGGCATGTTAAAACTATGTCTTCTTTGTTCCCCTTATTAGAGATGTTTAGAAGTGTAGCTTCTTTTTAGAATTAAATACTATCAACTCCTCCTGTCCAGTGAATTAATTTTGTATATGGTGATATGGCACTCAGAGTGTACACTCATTTATCCCACTCCTGCTTTTGTCTATCATCATGTTAATATTTACTTCTTCTTCTCCTTAAATGCCAAGGACAACAGCTCTAAGCTAGAGGAACATCAGTTTGAATGCATTTATTATTTTCTTTTTAATGTTTTTATTAAAGTTTTTAATATTTTTAAATTTAAATTAATAATTTCCCCGCTTCCAGTCTCTACATTTTTGATATCAGACAAGATAAGACAAGATAGCATTTTCTCAATATTGGGCTACTTCATAATAAAAAAATCTGCTCTTCATTGTATAAATACTTACTTTTTAAAACATTGTGTACTTGCAATACTTATTGTTGGTATGAATTGGCACTATTGATTGTTCAGATGTAATCCCATGTTTCCACTGATCTCTCCCTTGCCCCTGGCAATTCTTCATTTGTCTCCAGAAGTTGTGAATGCTCCCAACACTGGAAGTTTTTAAGAAGTTACTGGATAACCATTTGTGTGAAGTGGTATAGGGTTTCCTGCCCAAGCGGGGTTGGACTAGAAGACCTCCAAGGTCCCTTCCAACTCTGTTATTCTGTTATATAAACACTAAACTACATGTTTTATATTGTAGGTGCGAGAGATGTTAAAGATGAGAGACTCAAACGGTGCTCGTATGCTGACACTGATAACAGAACAGTTCATGGCTGACCCACGGCTGTCACTTTGGAGGCAACAAGGAACTGCAATGACAGACAAATACAGGCAGCTGTGGGATGAACTAGGTAAATCCAAATAATTTTGCCAAATCTTTTAACAAATCTGAAATGAAGGAAATATTAAGTGTTTTGAGTATCCTTGGTTCTTGTCAATAGAATTTGTATTTGTTGCCAGATTTTGGGATTATGGTAACCTGGGAACTTGTTTTCATAGGCAAAATTAGTGCATTTTTGCAAAAGCCGAGGATGTACAGCCAAAAATAACTGCTCCGTGAAATGTTTAATAGTAGAAGCTAGAATATAAACATTTCCTATGTAATAAGTAACCCATTGTATTAACAAGGGCTAAATCTGCAGTTATTAATAGTAAATGTTTACCTTCATAATTATGCACCTCTTTGATTCCAAAATGTCTTTGAAAGGGCATACTCCTTCACTAATCAGTTTTCAATAGGCATGGAACACTGTATAATGTTAGTTCAAGATCCTTCATTCATACTTTTTAATCAAGTGGGTGGTCTGGGTATATACCTCAGTGTAAACACATGTCTTTTTTGTGCTATACTTGGATTTTTGCTCTGTAAAGATTGGAGGGGTGGGGGGAACCCTGATAATTGGCCAAACTAGGCTCATTTATCAAATTCATTGCAAGCTTACTATCCTAACCAAATGCTTTACGGCCTACGTTTATATGAGTGGTTGAATGTGAATTTGGAATTTTTTGTATGAAGAGTGAGGTGTGTACTTGTTGATTTGAGCTGGTAGTAGGTGAACTTTGTGTTAAAATTTGTTCTGGGTCAGATTTGGTTTTCTATTTGAAAATTAGGAGAACACAAACTGAGAACAAGCTGTATTTCATGCCTTTAAGTAAGTCTTATGAGTATTTTAATCAATTTTTAATTGAAACTGAAACAAACACCATAGTTGTAATTCATATTTCGTGTTATTTTGGTTTGTTGTGTATTTTGGAATAGGAGTACTGTATTTCTATATGGCTCCAAATGAAATAAATGTAACACTGAAAGTTCCAGAGGAGCAAATTATGAGCTGTAGCTATTTCAGTTTATCTTTCTTACAGACAAGCAGTCAGTAAGGGAATCCTTGCAACAAATTCCATCAGCATTTCCCTGGATGTACTATATTTAATAATGACCTTGTGTGTACAGTATTACTAAGATCTGTTTCCTGGGGCTGGGGGCACAGTTTGGCTCAGTGTGTGCCAGTTTGATATTCTTAGAGGAATTGCTTACGAGTGGCTAGTTCAGGGAAACAATTACTTCACAACATATAATTTCCATGTCCTTCAAAGATTTCTAATAATTCAGCTGAATGAGTAAACCTAAACAATGGATCAAAAAAGGATAAAACAAGTGTCTTTCTCACTGAATTTAACCAGGATCTGATGTATCATTGAGAACTTCTAAGTTAATGCTTTCAATGTTAAATACTGCTAGTTTCACAGCAGCCTCAACTCCCTGTTTTAATTAAACACTATGTAATACTAGTATTACCTCTTTGGCATTAGTAACTAATTTTCAGGTGTTGACATCTGAGCAAATAAAGCTACTTGGTACTGTTAATCCTTTTCTTTGTCTACTTACCCATATTCAGCTTCCAATGTGTTCCAAAGGGCACAAGAGACCATTAGATTTTGTGTTGGTTAATATAAGCAAGTGGCTATTTCTCTCTGGTAGATTTTTTCTCTCTCAACTCCTCTATTCTGGGAAGTTACAAGGAAAGCCAGATCAATTACAGTTCTTCCACTTCTGATGTTAAAACTGAACAGGTGATAGATAATACATTGTTTTCAGGAATTTCTGGACAAAGCTGACTTTTCTGGTCAGCTGTTCACCTGATTTCAGGCCAGGGCTAAGAATGAAATTACTGATATTGGGAAAAAAATAGAATGTGTGTCTCTGTTGGCTTCTCCAGGCTCCTTGCTGTACCATTAGACTGTGTATGTAGATACGAGCACCCATTTCCAGTGTTGCTTCTCCACCCTTGCAGGGTAATTTCAGGTTGCGTTGAAAAATTACTCTGCTCCAGGAGATATGCCAGTAGCTTTGATTTATTCTCCCAATATGATTCTTATTTGCATGAAGCCTCAAATCAAGCTTATACGGTTTCTGTATGAGTAATTTTTCCAGTCTCTGAGACTGGAAAAAAATTGATTAAGAATAAGTAACTCAAAACTCAATCCACACAATTAATGCAATATGGAAGTTAAATTATTTCCTGAATGTTTTATTCAATCCAGGACTAAAATCCTCAAAACAATTGTTTTCTTGTTGCTTTGTTTCTGTTTTCCTCTTTTCAAATAATTGCTTGCGCCAGATTCCATGCAAACACCTGAAAGAAAGGAGAGTGCCAAATAAAGTGACCAACATAGATTTGTTAATTTCTGTATTGGCCTGGTTTGGAAATAAGTCAAGTTAGACTTTCTTCCATTGAGAAGCTATTACAACATTCATTAATCTTTGGAAGCATCAGTATAGATATTCTGCTCATGGTTATTCAGTGTGACTGTGATGTATGGCTTTATGTTCCTGTTACACTTTAGTTTCTAATGGTAAGCAATGGAACTACTCTTAGTAAAAATTTGACTTTATTTACTCCATTTTGATAGGGAAGGTTACGAGACTTGCATTAAAAGTTAATCCTCCAGTCTCCACATCAGTTCTTTTAACTGTCACCAGTTCTTTGAACCTACCCATTTAAAGAGTATCCCTAAGGAATATTTGACATAACACCCTTTGGATGCCAGAATCTTCTCAATTTTCTCTTATAATCTTACTCATCCAAAGTAAAAAATATTTGAACTTTCATGTTTGAGCTTTGATGTTTGAGTTTGGGAATGACTTTCAATCTGAAAAAGGGAAAGGAAAACCTATTATTTTGAAATCATAAAAAAATCATAAAAGGTTTTTTTCCCCTCCTGTAAATGCAGAATGAAAGCCATTGGGCAATTTGAGCACGTATAAAAATGAAATAATGCTCACTTTCATTTGCAGGTTTACACCTGTTTATAGGTTAGCCCTAAAGTCAACCAGCTACTAAGCTTTCTTAAGCATGTTCTCAGGTGATAGAAATTTCCCAAGATCAGACAGGTTTCACTGCGTTTCTTCCCTTGGGAAGAGGCCACCTTTTATAAAAGGATGTTAAAAAAGAAGTGTTCTGCTTCTAGGAACAATATGTTTGCAGAAAGGCTAAAGTAACAAGATGTTAATTGAAGTTCAGCCAATATTTGCAAGATTCCCACAGTCATGAAGGGTATGAGAATACTTAGTTTGAAGGTAACATTCACTTAATATGTTAATAATGAGTAAAAGGAATTTCTAACTTAGATTCCTTTATAAGACTAAAGAGGTTAGCTGACAGGGTGGCCCTATAAAGATCAAGGAAGAGTTGCTATTTTGACAGGAGACATACATTTACATTTGAATCACCAAACAATCCAGAGAGGGGGGATTAATTATTCCTAGAATTGGCAGGGCATGTTTATATAGCAAACATGTGATTTCATCAGCTAGCCCTTATTAATCAATTTAGTTTGTAGATGACTTTGAGTCATGGAAATGCTTTTCTGCCAAAAACCCAGACGCTTTCAGTTTTTTGAATATTCTGTCATAAGACATATGCATTGGTGCAGAATTTGCTTTCATTTTTGGAGCAAGTTAAAGTTAAAATTTAAGGTGAATCTAAACTGAATTTAGATTTTAAATTCTTAAAGAATTGGATTCTTTTTGCTGTTATGTCATATTTGTTCATGCATGGTATGCATACATATTGTGGGATCTTTTGGAGGTGATGGTTCAGTTTAAATTAAAAAAATTAATTTAAACTGAACCATCTCTACTGTTTGTGGGAGAGGAAGATATGGTGGTGGCCAAGGGCCAAATTATGTTCGGGGACGCGGTTTCGCTGTTTAAGAGCAATCGCGGGTTCCGATCCTCATCATCATCCTCACACCCCTGGGTGCTTGGAATTACAGGACCCTGGTCTCCGGCTGGTGTTGCTTAACGCCAGGTCTGTGGTACATAAGATTCCCTTCATTTATGACCTCATACAAGAGGGTAGAGCGGACCTGGTGTGAATTACGGAGACCTGGTTGGACCATGAGGGGGGTGTTCCCCTTAATGAATATGCCCACCAGGCTTCCGGGCGTTTCACTAGCTGAGAGCCCAGGGCAGGGGCGGTGGGGTGGCGGTGGTTATTAGGAAAAGTCTCGGACCTCAGGTGATCACTGTGCCTCAGATAGGCAGGTGTGAGTCCTTTTTTGTGAAATGGGGCCTTGGAGTTTAGGTGGGCCTTTTTGTTACGTGCCTGTCTCCCTGCTATGTTTCATCAGCCCTGCCGGAGCTGCTAGGTATATTAGCTGGATTGGCGGTTGATTTCCCAGGCTTATGATCCTGGGGGATTTCAATCTGGCTTCCATTGGCGAGACATCCGAGTCAGCTCGGGAGTTCATGGCTTCCATGACAGCTATGGACCTAACTCAGTTAATTCAAGACCCCAACCATAATGGGGAGCACACACTCAACCTGATTTTCGTCTCTGGGCAGTGGATGAATGATCTAGATTTAGGGGATGTTTCTATCCAACCCTTGTCATGGTC